ATTTACGTTTCCACGTGCCGTTGTATGAGGGCTCTAATTTCTACACGACCTTGGCAATGCTTATCAATTTCCATCTACAGGGTGTCCCAGAAGTCCCCATACGTAAGGGATGTGGGAAGTTGTAGCTAAATGTACCTTTACAAAATATTCACTACAATTTTTTCGTTGTATGGAAACTTACGGGACACCCTGTATGTGTCTAAAGCCTATAAGCGCTGATGTTTACGGTTGACTTTAGTTTCCTCTACTGTTAGATTTAAGATATTTATGACGGAGCGAATAGCTTAGCCCCAACTGCATCTGAGAACAGAAGCTATCGTGCGGGTGGTGAGCCGTTGGCACAGCCCTCATTCTGAAGAATGTTGAGCACCCTACTGCGCTCCGGGCCTGGGCGTAGCTCGGATTTTCCTCTCCGAGCCGACCTGAGGCGGGCGACTGGGAAACACGAATCCCCGCGGCGCCGGAAGCCCCTCCCGGGCGTCGCCCTACGTGCTGTGCGACGTCGGGCTGACGCAGGCGAGCCTTTGTCGGCCTCTGCGGGCGCCCGCCCATTGGCCGGACGGCTGCTCGTCCCTCCCTCTGGAAGTGCGGACGTTGTCATTTGCGCTTCGCGGTCGCGGGTGAGCGAGGCTGGGGTGGGCCGGGGGTGGGCTCAGGCCTCGGCGCTCCCGCGGCGCCTTAGAGCTGCTCGGCAGGCTCCAGCCCGGCGCGAGGTTGTCCGTTCTGCCCTGCACTCCCCGGGGACGCCCCGCTCCGCTCTCACGGTACACCCCGCTCCCAAACGCGTGTCACCACCGGCCTCCCCTCGCCCTTTTCCCGGACTCCGTCTTCGTCCACCCACCCTCGGTACCTCTGTTCCGCCGCTCCTTTCCTTTATATCCGTTTGTTCTTTTCCTCGGCCTCGTATTGTCGGTTTCACTTCCCTATTATGATCCTCATCATTAGCCCTTATCTACGTTGTCTTTGACTCAACCTGTCCCCGCTCCCTGTGTCTCCACTAAAATCATCCGCTGAACTGGCGGCTCTCCTACGATACCTGCCCTATCTCGGATAGAGCCTCAAGCCTTTTCCTCATTCCATTGTCTTGGACTAAATCGAGTGAAAGAAGATTCCTCAGCAACAATTTTTATCCATTTTGCTCGATTTGTTGGCTTAGAGAAGGTAGCTAAAATGATAATGAATCTCTCCTAGCCACCTTCTAGACTTCTCTAACCACAATATCCACGTGTGTGAAGTAAAATATCTTACCAAAAAATCAGAATTAAGCGATAAAATACAAGTAGCTTCATTCTGAAGAGAGCTAAGAAGTTTTAGAAAAGCCGTAATTGTGGCGTAAGTAATTAGTAGTATTTGTTCTTGAGAGTTTTATTTACAACATAATGTGTATGAACTTATTTTAAACACAACGACTATCTTTTTGATGGACAGCTTGCCAGCCAACTTAACCTCTTACTGGTTAGCATTGCCCGTTGTTTTGAAGATGTTTAGTTGGTTTTGAAGAGGAAAAGTCTACAGCTTTGAGCTAGGAAACGAACTGAGAAAAATGGTCTTAGCCCACTCTAGTTACTTAGTTACCTCTATGTGAACTTTGAACAGGTCACAACTTCTGGAATTTTTTCCCCCTCTTTTTATAATACTTATATAGCACTTAATATATGTAGACACTGTTCTGAGCTTTGTATCATACTATCTAACCCACACTACATCCTTCTGAGATAAGTACTATTATTGTTTTCATTTTACACATGAGGAAATTAAGGTACAATCTGGTTAAATATCTTTCCTGAAAACACCATCAAGAAAACGATGAAAGCAAGTCTCAAATCCAGGTAGCTGGTAGCTCCCAGCTGAAGTGAGCTTAACTGCTGTGCTGTGGTACCTGTGAGGGTGCAAGGCCTACGCCTGATCACCTCTGAACTCTCTTCAGATCAGATTCTAAACATCTATAGCCAAAAATAATGATTCCTCGAAAAATACTGAAAAAGACTCACTGCTCGTTTGGCTTATTTTAATCAGAGAATATGGTCTTTAAAATTTTGGGACCAATTATTTCAGTGAATTCTTATTGTAATTTAACCAGGGGTTGTTTCAGAGTCCAACTATGAATCCTTTGCAAAATAGCTGGCTTGATACAAATTTACAATTTTGTTTGTTTATAGTTCTTGTTTGTAATTCATTTCAAAGCCACATTCAGATTGGATTTACCTGTATTGTGAATTACTTAAAAATTGCCTTAGTGTAGTCATGGTGCCGACGCATGTGCCAGCAAATATTACTTAACTTACAATATTTTGAAAATAAGAAATGTTAACATCCTGGATTACGCCTTACGCACTGTTCTGAAGTTTCTTGCTTTTTAAGGCCTTCCACCCTATTCTAAGGGATTAAAATTTCTTTTAAATTTAAAAGGCCTTTTGGCTTAATAATATATTGTGGAACTTGTATTGGTTTTTTTTCAAGAAATTGCTGATTTTTGAGAAATTCCAATATAATTTCTAATCATTGAAGAAATTGAAGGTGTTAATTTTTGAAATGAATGATTTACTTATAATGTTAAATAAATATTTTATTACTCAGCATACCTTTAATTATGGCCTTAAAAATAAAAGCAAAGTATATCAAGGGAGAGTTGTGGCCTGGGAAACATCAGCTGGGTCAGCTGATTTGCAGCCTAGAGGTCTTCCAAAGTAATATATTGGTAAGTTTCATATTGTGGATTTGCCTCCAGTTTTGTAGGTTTGGCTAATTGATATTGTCAGTCTCTGAAGATCGGGACTTGGGAGTTAACTTACACTAATTCTGCTCCACACTTAAATGGAGTGTAAGTCATAATACTAAGTGTAAAGTTTTTGTGCCTCCATTTTTTAAATCTGTTAATGGAGATAGCAAAGGCACCCAGCCTCAGTGGGTGTTTTGAAGATTAAATGAATTGATAAATGTAAACTGCCTAGCACCTACCCAGTGTTGGTATCTTTCCTTTATCATCACATTTATAATTAGGGAGCAGTGACTGGAAAGGTTTGGAAACGGGCACTTCACTATTATTTTCATGTCTACTACCTATTGTGTTTTTACTTCGCAGATAGCATTTCTATTTAATAAACTCTTGCTTTTAGCAAATGATATGTTTTAAGTTTTTCCTTCACTGTAGAAATAGTCCTTTTAGCTATCTTAATCTAGGTAAATTCATTACTCTGTGATGAACTAATTTTTTTCTTTAACAGTTTAGGAGTTCAAGCCTGGGACAATGGTGTGCATTCCTTGTATTGTCATTCCAGTTCTGCTCTGGGTCTACAAAAAATTCCTGGAGCCATACATATACCCTCTGATTTACCCTTTTGTTAGTCGTATATGGCCTGGAAAAGCTATACAAGAATCCAATGGTAAAAATAAAGGCCAAGTAGACTGTAAGGTAAGAATATTCAAATACCTTGAATAAAGGTGGGGAAAGGGGTAGTACTTGAGTGAAACACTTGGATTTTGAAAAGGCAAGTTTTTGAAACAAGAAGCTTCAGTAATTTGTCTCAATCTAAGTAATTAACATTTGGCTTAAACTATGGTTTTAAACTAGGCCTGTGATTAATACATTAGTTCCCTGCCTTACGCCAAGATGATAACCAGTACTTCCTGGCTGGTAAGCATAATAGTAGATAGTTAATGGATGAGAGAGATGGTCCACATATAAGCCAGTTTCACTGACTGATAACTTGGTTAAGAGATTTAATTGGAAGGATCACAGAATTTTTTAAAAAAACAAAATTATTTTTTTAAATGAATATTTACACAACTCTGTAGATATTGGTGCTTGTTGGGTTCAACTTTGACTATTTGCACTAATTTAGCAATCCTGCACATTTCTGGAAGCAAAGTTTTTTCACTCTGGTTCATTGTCTATTTGTAAAGAGTATGTCTCTTACAATGAGTCTTTTTGTTGTAATAATTCCTAAAATGCTTTTTTCATTTTAGGGTGGAGACATACATGGATTACCAACAAGAGGACCAACAGAAATCTCTGATAAAAAGAAAGACTAAAGCGATTTTCCCAACGGATCTCGTTTTAAAAATGGACCTGAAAATATGAAGCACCTTCTCTGTAATTGTCTCTGACCTTTTTCACTGAGACCAGAATTCAGGATAGATAGGTTAGGTATTTACCTGATACTAATCAGGAAATACATGGTATCTATGTTTAAAATGTAGTTAGTTATATTTAATGACCTCATTCCTGAGTTCCTTTTTCACTAATGTAGCTTTCATTTCTATTATTGCTGTTTTAACAATATGAATAAATAGAAGGTTTGTGCCAGTAGACACTCAGTTACTAAATCAGTACTTAAAAACCTTTGGTCTTTCATTCACATGAATTGGACTGCTGCTTACTCTCGTTTCTTGGGCTCCTCCAATTTGAGTGGAGTACAGTTTTACTGTGGAACAGTTAAGTGAGACTGTGCCAGGAAATGCAGAGTAGAGTTGTTGGAGATGATGATGTGAAACATAAAGATACACTTACTGTCCAACACAATGGAGCAGCTTATCCATGAAAGTAGGAATTACTATTTATTGTTCTGAGAAGGTAGAAAAAACAGTAAAACGGGAAACCTCTTTTACGTAAATATCTAATGTATATTATAAAATTCTAATCCTTGTGGCATTCCTTCTGTTCCTACAGATGTATTAAACACATAGAGTTTAACTTGTGGTCCTTTTTTCTTTTAAAATCTATTTTAATATTTAAAAGGGAAGTTTTTTACTGTATCAGAAAGCAGAATTTTAATATTTTGATAGCATGTGGATAGTGGTGGGATAAAAGTTACCTCCAAAATGTAGTGGTTTTCAACAATAGTGACTTCACTGAGTAGTTTGCTGATCTGGGCTCATGTGGCTGGGGGCCTGGGCCTCCATGTGGCCTTTCATCTTGGGTTTCTTCACTTCAGTGTAGGGGTCTACAAATATTCAAAGATGATGAGCTATATCTTTATATCATGTATTCCTCTGAAGCAGAGAGAGATTAGAAGAAACTCTTGTTCTTGGGTCCCCAGTGAAGTCCTGGGTCCTAACTGAGACACTTTTAAGCTCTGTGTCTGGTCAAGTCATTGATCCACCCTGGACTTTATTTGATGTTAATCACTAGGTCCCCACTTCTCTGCTCCAACCTACCTGAGGAATAAGATAAATTCAGCTGTGCATGGTGGCTGATACCTATAATCCAAGCACTTTGGGAAGCTGAGGGGGGAGGGTTGCTTGAGGCCATGAGTTCAAGACCAGCCTGGGCAACATAGACCACATGTCTACACAAAATTTTTAAAGATAAATTCCCAGCTAAATTTGGTTGATTCGTTTGTTTTTTAAGGTATAAAAGCTACATTATAAAAAGAGCAGATGTTCATAGTAAAACAATACAAGAGTGTTTTAAAAGTACTTTCTCTACTCTAATTCCCTTATTCCACCCCTACAGATGTAACCAGATAGTTTCTTGTGTAGCCTTCTAGCAACT